CTTCATTTTATAACTTTTCTATTCATGCAAATCTGAACCTACGATCAGTCACTGATGTCTTGTTAAACACTGATAATTTTTCAGCAAACAAATTGGTAGTTAAATTTTAAGAAACGAAGAGATCAATCCTGAGATTTGATGACTACTGTTACTGCTTTCAGTCGATGTACATACATACATTCAAATATGTATAGCTCTTCAGTGGTAAACAAATTCAAAATTTGCCAGTTTTTAATAGCTCCCTCTTTTCTATTTTTTTTTTTCTTTTTGGATTACTTTTTGCAAAAATGGAAACAGATGATGGAAGACAATGCTTGTTTTGAGCCAAATACATAAGTTTCATTCATAATGGCAGTTTTGACCTTTACGGATGAGACCTTTAAAAACTAAAGAACTTCTTTGGACTAAAGCCTATTCGATATTCTGTCATTTAAACATGATTAATTTGTCGATTTTCAGCAAACAAACAGATGGATAGACACTCTGATAAAGCAGTAAAAATTTAACATTAAAAGTTTGATTGCTTCTTTTCCTTTTTATGTCTTAATAAGTTACGAAAAAATTATTAATTTTCCACCTTTTTCTTTAGATTGCAGCTTATGAAGATAACTTTTTTCAAAGAAAAAAAAAAATTGAAAGTGGACTGTGACTTACTTGTTTGGGAATATTCACTTTATTAAAATGACGTCAATGTTTCGTTTTATAAAAACGAATAAGGGAAATAACTGTGAAACTGTTGTATGTTGTGTGAAAAAAAGAACAGATGACACTCTCCATTTGCTTCTCCACCACTTCAGTTTTATCCTGTTTTTTTCCTCAAACGATAGGATTTATCTGGTTTAAACAAAAAAAAAAAAAAACAAGATTTTTCAAAATTTTTTTTCATATTTTGCCGTAATCATTAGTTTTTCAAATGACATTTTTTACAGGAACTTTGGGAGTAAAATAGGATGAGAAGTAACAAAGAGTGACACATAAATTATTTCAAATATTACGGTGTTTTAAGCTCTCTGTTGATGAATATTACTTAAATATTACTTTGCAAACTCTAAGATGGCCATTTTTAGCAAAACTCGTTACCTTGGTTTTTCCTTGTTCGGCCAATATTCTATGCAAGAGTCAGTTTTAATGCTTTGCAATGTTTCATTGCGCACATTGAAGGATAAAATAAGAACAAAAGGGAAGAAACAATTTGTTCTTTTTCCTCATTTATTGTTGATTAAATTTTAGGGAATAGTTCAGTTTTTTTTTTTTT